TCTATAAAGGAGTTTTGGCAATTGACAGTTTTGTTCCAAGAATGAGGTTTAGTATTCAGATGTGCTCACTTTGACTCCATGGCTACGGCCATGAATGAAATATATTAGTTTGCGTCCTACTTTTATATAAAACATTGGCCTGTTACTTGGTCCCCTTCAAGAGATAAGTACCCCAAAATTTTAAAAAAATATATCTATATCTATTGTGGAGGAAGGGTAATTTTTTTTACACTTTATTGGAAACAAAGTACTCTTTACCTGTTTTCAAACAATAAAAATGTGTATTTATTGAAAAGGGTGTAGGACTTACAAAGCTCTGAACTTACAAGAAATACTGAAACTACACTATCAATCTCTTTTAATTAAATTATTTTATAAAGTACTATTTTCTGTGAAGGTGCCCTCAAATTCTCAAAAGTTTAAACACAACATAGTAACATCCCGCTCAACTATGCAAATCGCAGAATCACAGCCCAAAAGCAAATAGTCAATACAAAATCATTCACCTGTGGTGTGTTGGCGCCCTCCCAGGGTTGGTTCCTGCCTGCGCCCATGGTTCCCGGGATAGGCTCTTCTTAGGCAGCGAGGGAAGTATGTTCGGCTGTGTCTTATCCAGGCTTGGATGGACTCTAATGCTCGGCTGTGTCTTATCCTGGCTTGGGTGGACTCTAACCCTCGGCTGTGTCTTATCCAGGCTTGGGTGGACTCTAACCACTAACGACAGGAACACAGTGTTTAATTCTGGGAATAGTGTGGTCATTTTGAGGAATGAATTAAAGCATATGGTCATCTAGTGTTTTAGCAATTGGGAACAACTGTAAGCCGTAGTTGAGCCAAGGAGCCGTAATAGTAAAGAAAGAAAACACACTGAATAATCTTTTGTTTTTTTGCTACCTGCAGTAAAATAATGTGAAGCAAAAACATCATTGGAAATTTCTGAATTAAAATGGAATGACCCTGGTGATACACTTAGATAGCTTAATTTGCAGAAACAATAAACATGTGCCAAGGGGAAAGGACTTAGAGATCCAATATAAACCAAGTGTAAATTGATATAACAGTCTAAAAGTTATAGCTTTTTAATAACTCCCTTGGAATCCCACCAGCATCCACTGTTATGCCATGCCTGAATAGCCTCAGCTAACTCCTATTCTTTAATATCCCTCTTGGTCTCCAAAGTACTTGCCCCTCACTGAAACCTTATTCTGGCCTTTAACCTTGTTCTTTACCTACAGACCAGAACCATAGATGAAGATTGGAACATAGAGTTTAAGCCTTGGGCATAAGGCATGGTACACTCAGACAGTGTTATGGTACATTCAGACGGTGTTATGGTACATTCAGACGGTGTTATGGTACAT